GCTTTATCTTGGGTGAAGGTCATGCCGACCCTCAGTGAGCAGCGCTGGTCTGGCGTGCACAATGCTCTTTATGACCTTGAATCCATGATTGCCGGCCTCCTGGCCTCTCTCTCGTCTTTTTTGCTAAGCATTTTTTCCAGCCCAGGCCCAGATCAGCCACAATGGAACCGAGTCGAGACACCGCGCTGATTTGCACAAAGGCCACCAGGTGAAAGGAAGCATACACGCTTGCAGGCTAAGTAGAGCTGTTGAATTTGTATGTGCCGTAGCTTCCAGAATTGAACCAAGATGCAGCGCTAAATCCATTTGCCCTTCATTTGGATATTGAAGCTTGCTCAAGTCAAGTGCTCGGACGCTCTGTTAAAGTTGAGACGCAGAGCAGAGACTGTCGGCGTGTCGATTGCATGAGGCAGCCTCAGCAGTTTCACTGGTGCAGATTCTGCGGCAGGCGGCAGCGAGCGGACTGGGAAGGCACTGAAGGGTGCAAGGGGGGGTTGAGACCGACGGGCCCTCCTGCCGCAATGTGTTGCAGAAGTGTGCCCGCAGGCTCCTGAAGGTCTTGCTCCTTGGGGAGGACAGTGCATCGGCAAGTGCCAGGTAAGCTATACATCCCAAACCCTGAATCTATGCCATAGGTTAGGAATGCGACGCGCTGCTTGAGGTAGGCTTTTTGTTGAACAATTGTTGAAAAATGAAGATTCCTGAAACTGATTAGATTCAAGGGCCTCAAGTTGCTTGCTGATGCTCGTTTCGCTGTTGCCTGTTTTTGCAGAGCCTGTCAACTTGGATCCTAACATGATGCCATACCATCCACACCGTTTGTTCTGTATAGGTTTTCGCTTGGACAGAACCTCCAATCTTTCTTGTTCCGGTACGTAACGGCAGTTGGGTTCACCCAGCTCAAGACTGGCAGGATATGGCAAGCTCCACGCGACTCCTCAAGCACAGCCAGCTGGATCACCTTTTGTAGGCTTGAAGCTGTCGCATGCTTCTTTGGCGGACAGCGGCGGCAAGGAGTTTTTTTTTTCCTCTTTCTGCAGGTGAGCAAGTCGAAAGCAGGACAGGAAGTGTCGTGCCTGAACTGCAAGTGCACCTGGGAACCCCTCGTCAGGAGTGTCGGCGATAGGGACGGCGTTGAGATTGTGCGTCAGGTGAGTGCATTCTGCTGTTTTGTGCTTGAGCATATCGGACATCGACGAACCAACACAAAGCATAACTGATACACTGATCAAGTGCAATCAAGTGCACTTAACACCTGCAACTTGCCTTCATTTGTTTGAATTTGGATTGGCCTTGCATATTGATCAGCTAAGCTCGAAGACCAAAATCTGCAGCCTTTCCAGCACGCTCAGCACGCGTCTTGCAGCTGAGATGACAGGATCCCGCCGCCCTTCTGGCAACCCGGTCATCTACACCCTTGGGTGCAGGCTGGCCTGACAGAATGTGCAACTGTTTCGCGTGTTTCGCGATGGGCGTGCAAGTGTGAGGCCTGTAAGAGCGAGAGTCAAGTTGCAGGTACGCTTTGCCACAAGCAAGTATCAAATACTTTGCAATCCCTGCCAGGGGCCGGCTCGGGCCATCGTCTGTCCGGCCCTTCTGAGAAAGACAGCAGACAATTTTTTTGTCATCGTGTCATTGGGGCCTAGGTCTGCTGCAGGAAGCCTTGTGGAGCCGCAGAGAACAGATGTGCTTTGGCAACAAAAGGGGTGACCATGTTCATGATGTTCACAGTCACTCCCAGACTGAGGCCTACGTCCAAACCGATCAGTCTGCCCCTCCAGGCTGGAACAGGTTCACGTTGAAAGCCCAACCAAAGCCCAACCTCCAAAAGTCTGTGTCAGGTGCGCTTGCAGCTTCGGTTGAAGCCGCCATGCAGGACAGTCACGGGCAACACGTTGGTGCCCCAGAGAGATGTTTCCTTGACACGCTTCAAGATTTCCAACTTTATCGGAAAGCACGGTGGTACTGCCTGGCAGGTCCACAGATTTGGACACGAGCCCAGTGCTGAAATCAGTGCTGCCGGTGTCGAGCAAAAGACAAGGCAGTTAGAGTTTTTGGCCGGCGACGCCCAAGCAGACCTGGATGCCATGCATACCACGCGAATGACAGAGCTCAGCATCGCCCAACCTGCCATGGACTCCACATCCAAGTCAGGCATGGGTGGACCCCTGGTTGCAGTTGAAGGGCCGTGCAATATTTTTCCGGGACTTTGGAGTCAATGCACTGGGAGGGTTTGTTATAAGAGCAGTACGTGCCGGCAGATCAGGCAGCATGTCGCTGACTGTCCAGGACAAGGACTTTGCTTGCGTGCCTTTCATGTCCCGTGTGGAAGAAGGGACAGATGTTACTTTTTTGCTTGGTTTGCGGCGCGTGAAGGAGATGCCAAGCAGATCCGATGACATCAACAGGTCACCATCCCTGTCGCCAATTCCGCGACAGGCCCGCAGCAAGTGGCAATTTGTTGCGTTGGATTGCATATCTTTTCTCTTGATTGGTTGGCGTGCGCGCTCCTCTAGGCTGGTTTCGATGTGACAGCAGATGAGTCTAGTACCTCGGCTGCGCATCGAACTTGGCCGAACAGAACTCATCGGCTCTGAAATGTAGTAGATTCCAGCTTAGCCTGGAGACAGTTTTCTGTTTGATTCTTCCAGAGCAAGTGTGTATACAACCCTGTCTTCAAATGGCCAGGACCATTTTCTTTGGATAATTCCAGCAGATCCAGAAGCGAAGATGAAGGTGGCTGGTTGCGACATGGATTTGTGCCATGCTGAAGAGAAATAAGATGCATGAAGTCCTGGTCGGGCTACTCACTCACTTGCGAAAGATCCACAGTGCTGCACAGAAGTGTGGGTAGCATACCAATCAGACACTCCGGGCGGTGGGAGGCCCGCCTGAGCCAGTGCAGAACAAGCTACCTGGCAACCATTGAGATACTGAGGAGGTTATTTTCACACGCGAAGCCCTTTCATGAACAGGCCAAGCTGAGAGGAACTTTGCATGTTTGTTGCGACTACACAATTCTGCCTGCACCGTTGCCACGCGCTTCTACAGTGCTTATGCTGGCTTCAAAAGGTTGGGATCGTCGGCTCCGGAGTCAGACTGCCCCTGTGTATTAAGGCTATCCCTGGATGTGCCATCGCTTCCAAGAGGCCTATGCCACTCAGAAGAGGTTGCGAAGTTTACGCAGGTTGACAAGTTTGACCGTTTGGCAAGGTAGATGAAGCTCTCTGAATGTAGGCCACGCCGCGGCTAGAGCTTCTACGCCGCCTGTGGACTCTGGGAGCGAAAGCAGTGGGAAGAGCATTGGTCATCTGGAGCTGGTCACTGCTCAGCCAGGCGCATGTTGCTTTGATACGTTGTGTGATTGGTTACCTTCTGAGTTATACCTTCTGCCGGCAGGTACCGCTGCGGCAAGTTCCTCGAGGGCCTTGACGGATTCTGAGAGCAGCGAGAGCAGCGAGAGCAGCGAGGAGCTGGAGCCGTCCAAGCCAGGCTTTGGGCCGAACGTGCAAAGCGCTGTGCAGAGCCGTCACCTCCTTGATGGTTTGCAGGTGCTCCGAGATCTAAGCAGACAGATGATTTGGGAGTTCTGGATGGCACCAGCAGCACGCTGACTGACTGACCGACTGACTATCTGACTGACTGACATATCAAACGCGCTCAGCATTGCTGTCCACTAGCCGAGGGCGACATAAGGCCCAAGTAGGTAAGTGCCCGTTTTATACTGCGGCCGTCATGGCAGATGCAGCATTGTCTGCGGACCTGAGGCAGCAGCGGTAGCAGCGGCAGCAAGGTTGAAGTGGCCAAAGCCAAGCCAGGTGTCGTACAGTCCTATTCCTATTCTTTCTTTGGTTTGGCACATGACTTGCGCAGGTGGCGATGCCGTCATGGAGGCTCGAGGGTTGCTGTAGCTGGTTGGCGGGCTTCAGTCATCAGATGTCGTCAGTATTCAATGTCAATGGCTCACAGCCTCAAGGACTTTTTCTGACGGGCCTGAGGTTCAAAGCGCCGATGATAGCAGTGATGGATTCTGAAACGGCCTGCTTTCCAATGGACCTGTGCAGCGCGGGCTAGCCCCTGAGATTGTGAAGGGGAAGCGTGTTGAAGTCATGAGTATTCTTCGCAATCTTCGTAGGTATTTGCAAGATCAGCCTAGTTAGCTCGACATGCTGCATGTTGCAGCACGGAATTGGCGTTTTTTTTGCCGGTCATGCTGAAGCAGGCGCTTGTACAGCTCTTGTCGATGCAGATTGTCAAGCAACTTCAGCACAGCTGGATCCACATCATTTGCTTTTATTCAGACTGCATCAGCTTGACAAGTCGGTGATGGCCCTACCATCTCACGCTTCGACATGGCTACCATCGTGTGTATTCTAATTGCTGCGGGGCGGCCAAAAGCGCAACGGTAGCAGCAGCGTGTCAGTTGGTAGTCGATGCAAAGCCGAGCCAATGCGCGTGAGTAACCATTAGTGAATGAGTGATAGTGAGTGTTCTGAAGGCGCTTATGTCTGTCGAGATACCAGCCTTCTCGACATGAATGTCTTGCATTAGAGATGAGCACTCCGCAGCATTGGTAAATTTGGAATACAAGTGGAATGTACCAGGAGGATGCTAGGCGTGTCGGTCAGCCGCCAGCTTTGCGAAGTAGCGAGGAAGTCAGCTAGGGGCAGGAGACTCATTCCGGACCTACAAATGTGGCGCTCGAGCCTGACCTCAAGCGTCGGCTGTATTAAGCGATTCCTTTGCATCGGTTCCCCGTGCGGCCCACTGTCTACATGTGACCTCCTGACTTGCTGCGCCAAATGCTTTTGTCCTCGCCTCGCGATTGGCCGCGCTGCCTTGTCAGCAGAGCGCTTGACTACTTCAGCTGTTGGTCTTGTCCTTCGCTTGGATAAGGATAATTGAAGTATGTCAGGGGCTTTGAAAATTGGACTGTTCTCTTTGAGTATTTGTTTGGGCTTCTGCTGCGGTGCGCATAAGTTGCCTGCAGATCCTTGCAGGCGTTGTGCACGACCATCCGACTGACCTCAGCGCATTCCTCATTGAGAACAAGGCCTGAGTGTGCCTGATTACCTGTGGTGGATAGGAAGCAGGAGTTGACGCAATGCTCGTGATTCCAGGTTGATCCCAGCCAGTTGGGTGAGTTCATGGGCGAGGCCAACCAGCTAGACGGGATGCCAGCTGACAGATCTGATGGTGACTGCTTGTGCTAGTTTCGGGAGTATCCTGCTAGGATTTCTCGTTGGCGCAAACTCTTCGACTCGCCTTTGTCCATACCATGGTCCGAGCCACAGCACTCACAGACGGCAACATCAAATGACGGCAACATACGCCCAGATTTTCTGTGGTCACATTTTCCGACCCCTTGCCCAAGGACTTGGCAGGTACTGGGGTGGTTGGTGCCTTGCGAAAGGCCCGTGTATGCTTCTCACGGGTCTGTTGACTAATTAGTATGCTCAAGGTCTTCAGCTACATGAGACCACCAACCGAACTCAGCAAGATTGAGCCTGCCTCAGCTGAGTCTGCCGCTTCTCACCAGATCTTGGGCATTAATCTCAAGTTCAAGGATCCTTACATTCAGTCGGGCCATGCTTCAGTGCACAACCCAATCAACACTGGAAATATTAAGCTGTTCCGAGCCAGCTCGGAGTTGGACGCAGTGGACCCACGCAAAATGCATAAATCCTGAGACTTGAATTGCAGTTCCCTTGCTGTAAGGACCGCATCACGGCAGCTGCAGCCCACCTGCTTTGTACTCAGAGCCAGTGTTTGTATATGTCCTTCTAACGCTTTGTTAGTTGAACAGCCTTTTCACGTATAGTGACACAGTGGAAATTGAGCGATTGGCAGGTGGTGGCGAACGCATGACCTGGATGATGCTCAGCCGTATCTTGCTGGCATGCAGGAGGCCGGGACTGCATTGCTGCAATCATTCAGGTGTTGATCAGGGGCAAGCCACTTAGGTTGGCCGCAGACATAGCTATTCAACCGTTTGGGTTCGAATTCGGGCAGTTTCCCGTCCCACAGCTTCATGCCTTGCTCGGCCCAGAGCCCTGAGCCTCGATTTCAACACTGCAGGCAGACGAAGCGCTGGAATGGACGCTGTTTGCGGAGGCCTTGATTTCCGGCCTTATGCAATGTGATGGAACCAAAACCTGATCTAGGTTTGCGAAGTGGTTGTTTGATGCAACTGACTTTCCACATTTGGCCATTCAGGCTCTAAGCAGATGTACCTTAGGAGCAGCATGTCGCACATGTTTCGCCTCTCGCTATCGATCTGGCTCTGCGCGCTCGCTGCTCCAGACTGAGAAGGTTCCAGCAGGCGCCTTACCAGCTGCCCAGCCGTCTTGATTCAGGTTGCGGCGCAAGATGGCACCTGCGACGCCTCGGGGAAGTGCAGATCTGCCCCGGGTGAACCGCACGGCGGAAGCCTTGTAGATCCTCACCTGATATTATGGCTCGGTGCCTTGTCGCTCTACCCCCGTTGATTGTGGTTTTGGGGGCTTGCATTCTACAAAATGGCATGAAAGGCTGCATCAAGCTATAAAACTCTCCGAACGGCAGCCGAGTTTCTTCCAGCAAGCAAAGCTTAGCTTTTAGGATCTGAGCTTGCCAGATGCTGCTGGCGCGAAGCAGCTGGGATTTCATCGCTGGTGTGCTTTTGTTGGTGCACCTGAACGTAGCAAGTCGGACATGTCCTTCTCAGAAGCACAGTTGAAAAGGTTGGCGGCAACGGCCACAGCCACTCTGGAATTGTCCCAGCGCCAGGTCTCCGACTTTCACACATGAGGGCCTTATCAGAGTGTCCAGTAGATGAGATGCTGGTTTTGCCTTGTTTCCGTAGGCGTGCGATGTTTCTCTGCTCATCAACGGTGGCTTCTCACCCTTGACTGGCTTCATGAAACAGGCAGACTATGACTCTGTGGCAGCTAAGCTGCAGTCAGGGCCTGCTTGAACTTCACCATTATTCAGAAGTTTCTTAATGCAACTTAGACTTCAAAAAGCCAAACTCTGTGGCCAACTCGCACCACCGTTTCTTGACATGTGGCTGTTTAGCTAGAGGTCGAGAACATGCGCCTGACATCGGGACATCTGTTCGGCTTGCCGCCTGGCAGCAGTCTGTGGGGTGCTGTTCTCAAAGATATGAGAAGTACTACACGGTATCAACCTTGCTGTCCTTCTTGCGCCAGTAAGGCCAGTAATCCTGGACGTAGAGGACGAGTCCTTGAAGGGAAAGAAGGTTCTCCTCACGTACCAAGGCACCAACGTTGCCGCTGCTCGAATGGATGTTGTATGATGTTGTCATGTTGTGCAATTCGTCGCAAGCACCTTACAGCCAAGGTCTTTGAGGCTGAGGAAGTCTGGAAGCCGAACAAGGTAAAAGAAGCCAAGGCGGAGCCGTGGATTTTTCAAGCAGGTAGTTATACTCTAGGCCGCTTGTCCCATGAAAGCTTGCACTAAGTATTTCCCCAGTTTCATCCTGATGTCCAAAATCCAAACCGGGAGGAGAGGGATTGTAGCATTGCAGCTTCATTTTCTGTGAAATCTCTGATGTTTTGTCAAAGAGCACTACGTACCATTTGGAGATGCTAACCTGAAGCTGCAAGAAGGCATCCTACGGAACCACATCGACAGAGCATCCCTCCGTGGCTGAGCTTTTCGCAGATCTTGGGAAGTTCTATGCCGGAGGCAGGGCCGAGCCAGCACTTTGTAGGAGCTCCGAGGCACAGCTGCTCCTTGACTTGTTAGCTTGGACTCGAGGCAAGCTCCACGGCCTGGTATCGGGCTTCGAGCTGGTTTGGGGCAAAGGGTTCCGGACGCCAAAGGAGGTGCGGGCTTCTCTGCCAGCTGGAAGACAAGTGGTTGCATTCCAGAACCGCAACCCGGTTCACAAAGCGCACTTTGAGTTGCTAGCCGCTCGTTTGCCAAGCATGAGATGTAGTTGTTTGTCGTTAGCCATTCCTGTGCATTTGTTCAAGCAGGTTGCTTGTGGAGTGTCCTTGAGGTTCATGCCAACAAGGACGTTGAGAATTCGATTGTCCTTGTGCATCCCACTTGCGGACCAACCCAGCCGGGCGACATCGACGGGCCAACCCGCATCAAGACGTATGAAGTGTTGCAGGAGGAGCCCGAGTACAAGAAGTGGGCAGGTGACAACTTCCGGTGGTCTTACCTTCCCTACTCCATGAAAATGGCCGGGCCGCGAGAAGCCATCCAGCATATGATCATCCGAAAAAACTTTGGAGCCACGCATTTCATCATCGGCCGCGACATGGCAGGGACGAGCCTCGTATGTAGTCATTTTCTGCTTCATGGCATGCTTTGTCAGGTCCTTGTACTTTTTTGCATTTGGGCTCCTGTTCCAGCCACCTTCAGGAAGAGCACGCTGACAAGCGAGGATTTCTACGGTGCCTACGAGGTGCCGTGTGCGCTGTGCCTTTGCGATCCGTGCGTTTGTTCTGGTCCCGTTGAAAGTCATGCACCGTGTGGCAAACAGGCGCAAGACATGGGCAAAAAGCACTCGGAGGAGCTGAGTGTGAAGGTTGTGGACTACCCAAACATGGTGTATGCCACTTGGACAAAATGCCCAAGCAGTTCCGAATTTAATGCAGCTGCTGGATGTCCATCCTCGGTAATGCAGGTTGGGCAGGAGCACGGCAACGAGCGAGGCCGGATTTCTTCGTGGCTACCGGAGTAAGCGAGTAGCACAGTCATCAAGCCGTCAGCTCACGGATTTTTTTTGTAACGATTCAGTTGTTTCTGGTTGCCTAGTGACTGGCCTAGTGGGACCATTGAGATAGGTGTGGCTACTGTACTGTACCACCCGTACAACAGTTTGTGAGATATGGCTCATTTTAGAACACCTTTCCCTTTTGATTGAAAGTCATGCTTCGAACGCGTGTAGAAATTGTAGAAGCATTTTGCATAGCACGAAATGAAGCCAGGCTATGCGACAGATGTCGAGGCCAAGGCCAGCCTACCAAAGCCTTTGCAGAACGTGGGAGGAGAATGCGCAAAAGGACTCGGCCTTCTCAAAGGTCTCTCTCTTTTTTTTTCTCTCTCTGTCTCTCTCTCTGTCTCTTTCTCTCTCTCTCTCTCTGTCTCTCTCCTCAGCCTTTCTCAGCCTAATTTTGCCTCAAGGCCAAGGGCGTTAAGATCAACAAGCTCTCCGGCACAGAGCTGCCACTCTGCATTGTGCACCGCTTGGAGCAGTGCTGGTCCAGACCTTGGCAACATGTCCAGGTTCCGAAAACGCCTGCGGAGTGGTGAGGAGATTCCGGAGTGGTTCGCCTTCCCTAAGGTGGTCAAGGTGGGCGGGGCCCATCTTGGCTTCAGGTTCAGCAGTTGCTTTTCTTAAGCACAAAGCACATCCACTTCCCGGAAGGTTCTTCGAGAAGGAGGTGACAAGATCTTCCTGTGATAGCAGAAAAGAGATGGTTGTAGCGCAGCTGAAGCTAGGTGCTGTAGCAGGCTGGCAGGCTAGCACATGTTGCTCAAAGCTCCAGAATACCTGGAAAGCATTGACAATGCGGGCTGAAAGCCCATTCGACCCTCTTTTGGCTGCGAACGCAGGTTTGGTAGGACATGTTGGGCATCGATTCAACGATCCTTCTGCGACATAGGTTGCACAACAGAAAAAGATCCAGTGGTTTTTTGCTGCACGCTTCACAGAACCTTGCTTTCTTGCGTTGGTGTCGTGCCCGGTATACGCATGGAAATGTGACTGACAGGCAGAAGCTGGAAGCGGTCAGGTGCAAAACTGATTGTGTCCTGCAAGTTCAGGTGAGTTCATTTTGCCATATCCAAAGGAGCCGCGACCCAACTCCTCATGGTTTGCTGGCCAAGACGGTGAGGTGTGAAGCTTAAGGCTGAAGTTTGCGGAAAGATGGGCTGTTTAAAGATGCAGGTTTCTGGTGCCCGGCTTCGCTCTGTTCTCCACAGCGTGGAGGGGCTTGCCAGGCTCGCAAGCAATTGCAACTGACAAAAAGCCAAGGAAGAGTTCGGCTGCTTGGTAGGTCCCGGTAGATCCCCGTAGGTGTGAGAAGAATCTGATCTAGGCGACAACCCCTGGACCATGTCAGGCTGCTGTTCTCCACGGTCCTGCTTTGCTGGAACATCCGCAGGCTGGCCGCGAGGAAGACTGTGTTCTTTTTTGTGCTGTAAAGAGCCTGAGATGCAGGGTGCTTCCGGACTCGGAGGGCGGCAGCAACGCGCGACTGTCCTTCCAAGAGTGGATGGAGGTGAACTCCAAAATAGAGGCGGGATTAAGAGCTGAAGATGGCTTGCTCTCTTGAGGTTGTTCCTTGTTCCCTCCAGGCAGATGGGACCACACCATCCGTTGCTGTGCAAAAGTGCATCTACAACACGCTGCTTCAGGACGAGTCAGGCTCTCATGAACTTCAGAATGTCAAGACAGTGAGCTAGGGCTGGACAGCACATATTCTGCAGGATCCGCATGCAGGTTCCAGTGCCTCCATGTGCCTTTGAAGCCGGGAACATTCATACCTAGAAAAACACAGCCTTGTACAACCAGTGCCAGCAGCAAAGTGGAATTACCGCGCTTCTTACATTGCTCGTGTTGAGGTGTCCCGAGCTGCTTCCCAATGCCTCCGCAAAGAAAACAGCCATGCCGGAGTTCCGGGAGGCTCTTAGACGAGATTGCAGCTAGGATTTGTTTTGAAGATTTGTTCAGCTTGTCCGCAGGTGCCGGAGGATACCTCTGCCCTGCGCGCTGCAGGGCAGGCACCTCTAGCTGGTAAAAGTGGTTGTGAAGTTTGTACGGAGCTCTGAGTGGAGAACCAAGCAACGCGTGTCAGCGGACGTGGGCAGGGCGCCGGCGATACGCTCACTGCCTTGGCCTTGTGATCAGCTTGTAAGGATCATGGACGATTGTTTTTCAAATGGATGATTTTTGCATCTTTGGTCCTGTTTTGACTGAGGGCTGGGCCTCGATCCCTGCTGGGGGCCTCGAGCGCTACGACGTTCCGATGCCACATGGCCACCAAGGCTTGGGACAGCATCTTACAGTGCATTCTTGTGAAGTTCTGACATTGTGTTGCTTTGAGCCCATCCCACCAAGGCGGGCTGTCTGGCGCAAAGCTTTCGCATTGCGTCCTGAGCGAGACCTCCAGCAGCTTCCTTGATCGTTGGGAGCCTAAAGTCGAAAGCATCCCACTTCTCGGATGTGCCTGGGAATGTGCCTCGGGTGAGTCTTCCTCATGGCGTCCACCGCGACACCGCCCAGGCGGTCACAAGAACGGCATCAACCTGCTGCAGCCGGAGATGACCACATCGTCTGGGGAGGTCGGGCTACGCCAACTCATCGTAAGAGTTCTGCTTGCGCTGCTCCCATGTCTTGATTTTTTCTGACATGTGCTGGCATGAAGGCCGTCGAGTCCCTGTGTCAGCATGCATGACTTCTGGTGTACAGATGGCTCCTGTCTGAGGCAGTGTGGATGTCTCTCAAGTACGCCTTCTGGCTGTTTCTCTCGACATCACCTGATGATCCCGCGCCTTATGTCTTCATTCGCTTGCAGGACCTTCATCAGCCAGTTTATTGCTTCCGCAATGGTGTTGTCCTGATTCCTGACAGCCACGTTTGGCACAGGACACTGTTCTTCGTGAAGCAAACCTGCGAGAGAAGAGCCTGGTCTTGGCGGGCAGGAGCTGCAAACCCATATTGCCATGTGAGTCAAAGATAGTCAAAGTTCTGACGCGTGTCTTGCTGGCGGACCACAAAGTTGCAGCAACATGCCCTGGGATCCAGGAAAGCCTGTTTGTCATCCGGTCTTGAGCTGGAGTGTGCTCGAAACTATACACTATGTAACACCTACATTCCTGCGTTTACACATGCAAGCCGCATTTCAAAAACACGCATTGCAGGATGAAGAAGTCCGCCGACAATGATGCGGCAGGCGAGTTGTGGAGAAACCTGTGCCGCAGAAGCAAAGGCTCCGTGTGCATATCTTTCAGGCCCATTTGGTGATTCGGCGCGAGAGCCACTGAAGCTACTTGGGTTTAGGACGGTACATCAGCACAAGTAAGGGTTGGGAAGTTGACTTTCAGGCTTTGCTTCCTCCTGGCAGATGGCAGATTTCAACTGTTCGAGGCTTCAGATAATCGAGCTTTGCAGCTGCATATTGCCAGTGCCTGCGGATCTCTGAGCCCTTCAGGCTCTGTGGCTGGAGCTGCAGCTGAACTCTGAGGAGGAGCCACTCCAATTTGCCAATCTTGAAACCTTGCTGCCCCCAGTTCAACGGCGAGAGGCATTGTCGAGATGGCTGTCATGTGGTTTGTGAGGAGATGCAGATGTGGGCACGTGCCATCTCCAATGCATGCATCGCAGAGCTGGAGTCTAAGCAACGGTCTTCATCCTGCCCAAGAAACTCTGCTTTTTGTTTTAAATCTTTGGGCCACTTGGGTCGTGCGATCCTATCTGAGCGCCGCATGCGGCTACAGCAATGGACACTGCAAGTCATCCTCAGCCTTGTGACTTCTGCCTGGTGCATTCATTAAGGTGAGGTACGAGGCTGTGCTAGAGCCTCCTTGCGTCTCCCAGGCGCTCAGGAAATCAAATGTTATGATGAGTTACCAATCATTTTTTGGCACTGCAGGACTGTGAAGAGTCCAGGGCTTGTGTGTGCTTTTTTGTTGCGGTCGGGGTGTTGGTCTTTCCTTGCCTCAGCCTCCTCGCCAAGGCTTCGCAGCACCTGTGTGTCTCAGAGTTCAAAAGCCGCCTGACACTCAAGATTCCAGTGGCTTTCAGTTTCCGGCCTGCAGTTCAAACATCTGCAAAACTGGACTGAACTCAGAGTAAAGCAGACCTGTGAACAGAGTTTGGAGTTTTCTGTGCGGCATCGTCCAAGGACCTGAGATAGCAATCAATAGCTCAACAGTAGATTCTGGTAGCTTGGTTTCACTGGGGATCTCGTTTGGGAAGGATACCCTTACGATCCGGGTCACAGTGCGTTGATTGCGGGAGTGTTGTGCAGGAAGTGAGTGTCCTGACCATGCGAGAAACCCACATGCCCAAAGGGCAAAACGTGTGGCCAGAACGCGCTGAAAAAAGAGGTCGCCAGCGTCAGTGATCAACCTTCAGGCTGAAAAAGTTTCAGCAATTTGCCAACCGGCTGATGCAGCGCTTCCTGAGGGCAGGGTACAGGTGCCAAATCATTACTTTGAACAGCTTGGTTCAAAAATCCTGTTTCAGAAATTTTAGTAAGGGCGGCCCTATTTTGCAGATTCACGTAAAACGATATTGAATAAAGCATAGCGATACGGTGTTTTTGCGCAGGATTAGCATATGGAGTAAGGAGCATGCACTGTAAAACCATAAGGTTTCAAATGAATACTTGAGTTCGTGATGGGGTTTCCACGCGAGCCCTTGTGACATTCACGCCCGAATTCATCTGCAAAAGCGCAAGGTATGTCCAGAGTGGATATAAATTGGGGCTGTGGCCAGATGCTTTATCATTTTCCAGACGCTGTCGACGGCTCCCATAATCGAAGCCATGGTTGCTGTTGCCTTGTGCTGGGATTGGCGTCGGTTCGCGGCTCTCTTGCGTATCGGGTTCTTGTGTATGCTCCATCTCTCCTGTTGCTGCCAAGTGATATGATGTCACCTGGCTTCATCGCCTACATCCATGTCAGAAACCTTAAAAGAGCACGTTTTGCTCGCCGCCAGCACTGTCGCCTCGAAGACTCTCACTGTCACGGTATCTGATCGCGCAGTTTGAGCACCTGCCTTTCTCAGCACAGTTGTATCCGGGGATTCGGAACACCTTCCGAATTCAGTGGAATGCCATCATGCGTTGTTTGGGCATCCCCTTTTGCAAGGCCGATTAAGGTGTCACTCCCGGGTGCTGCGGGGTTCTGGCACGACTCATCTGTACCTGCATGCTGAAGATCTCACGAAGGTTGCTTGGCGGGGGCGCTGGGCCAGGCAAAAGAGAGTGGAATCCTACCTTCAAGAAGTTGCTGCCCAAGTTGTGTTGCAACGTTTGCCTGCCCGCTCCCGTGAGCGGATCTCGCGCTTCCTGATAGGGTTTAGACCTCGGTTTCCCCGTGTCCGGCAGGTCCCTGCTTGCATCCTTTCCTGGGCTCGTTCAAGCCACCGCTTCGACCACTCAGCACCTTGGCACGCGCGACTAAAACAAGTGACTTGTGCTAGAAATACCGGCAGCCCATGTTTTCATGCCTGAAAGGTTCGGAAAAAATCTGTGCGTGGTGCTGCCAGCAAAAGGCAGCGGGTAATGTGGTCCGTGCAACAGCGTTGTCAGTGCTGTTCGTTTGTTGCCCATGCAAAGAAGGGACCGCCGTTCAAGACATAGTCGCAAATGACCTTGAAGCAGCTTGGCAGGGCGTGCCGTCTCAGCGCAGCCAGACCATGTCATTCGAGCCATCAAAACGGAACCAGCCTAGGGCAAACAAAGTTGCAGATTTTGAGGCAAGTTGCAGGATGGCATAGGATGGCATAGGATGGCATAGGATGGCAGCATAGTTAGGCCCCCTCATACATAGTCAAATGGAAAATACACAAAGTTTAAGCTCAACACACAAGCCAGTTCCGCGGCATGTGCCAGCCTAGTGCCCAAAGCCGTCTATTTGTTCTGACTCAGAGTCCTACACCCTACCAAACTCCTGAACCTTTCGGTGCACATACTCCGGAGATCTGACGATTTCATTATGGGCAATGGTGCTGCAAGTGCTGCCAAAGCCAAGGCCCGATTTTCGTTGGTTTCCAGTCCTTTCCCTCTTAGACTCTTTGCGAACTTCCAAAGCCGGCTGCAGGCCCTGGCGAGCAATCCCGATGGCTCTCAAGGAGCGTCTGCTTCCCAGGCTTGGATCTTGGTTCCAAAAGTGTCCAAATGCCATCCTTGCCTGCCAGCAGCCAGGAGGTGGCCACGGCAGCGAACGACCAGGTTGAGGCCCGACTTTTGCAAACTCCATGCATATTTGGTTGTCGCTTGAGATGCTGCAGGTTGGTCGGCTGGGGAATATGGTTTGCATGTCAGCAAAACAGTGAAAGCCGAGCAGCCCACAGACGTTCCGTTCAAGGCGACTTTCCCGAGTGAAGCTTCTGGCACCTCCGCAGGGTGCTCAGTGGGCTCAGGCTCAAGCTCAAGCGAATGCGTCCTCAGTGAGGTGGATGGCCCAGCAACAATGCGCCGCCGGGAGAAGCGGTCGCGGATCGCGGCGGTGCCTGAGCAGGAGCACTTGCAGTCTTGTATATGATGGTGTAAAGTGACAAATGCTTGCCTCCCGCAAGTCAACGAAAATGGAGGAAGCTCGGGTGCCTGCAGCCCATCTCAGCACTCCCGTGCTTGGAAGGCGGCATGGGGATAAGATGGGAGAAGAGCCTGGACTTCTTTGCCAGATTTAGCATTCTGCAGGTCAGCGTGTAACCTCAAAAGGCTTTGTTGAGTCGCATGTCTTTACTGTGGCCCGCCTATAGCCGCAACTTGGAGCTGCAAGCCTGCTGTTTCGCTTCAAAATTGTGAATGCGCATAACGGCACATCAAGGCGGTCAGGTTGAGATACGTTCAGCACCACTTGTCGGCCTTTGAGCCAAGTTGCAATGAGCCCGTCCTAGCATTTCTTGTGTGAATATATCGGTAGTTGCAGCAGGCGCGCAAGCCAGACGGTCAAGTCTAAAGCTCAGCAAGGGCATGGACAGAAGTGGAAGCAGAAGGCAGGTTTCTCTTTGTCTCTGACTTGTGCAGTCTTAGACTTGGATGGCAAAGGCCTCCAACGCATTTCCTTGCAGAGCATTAGTTCAGCAAACAAAAGCCACGCAGTGCTTGATGGGTTGACAGACGGACCTGATCAGATTTTCCAACGCCACTCAGGCCGGAGATGCTGGACCCGCAGCTCGAGGAGTTCCTCACGAAGGCAGGGACAGCAAACAAATCCTGCATCCGTTGATGTTGGTGTTCAGCTGGGCAGACAGGCCTTTCAGAAGCATTTTCTTCTGAAGTCGGTGCCGGAGGACGAGTGCAAGGTGCCAAAGCCTGTCTTGCGGGTCGCGTGACGCGAATTGCTCCCAGGCGCTGAGTCTCTCGATGAAGGTGAAACATGCCGTCCCTCAAGAGGCACGTTCCCGACTCGAGGGTACCTGATGGTGGGGTGTAGCAGTCTGGTGCATTTCTGCCGGCAAAGATGGGAGATTCCAGCTTTACAGCCATGTAAAGCGTGACGAAGTCGAAGTTCAGCATCCAGAATTTTTTTGGGCTGTGTGGGGTCTGGCTGTAAGACTTCATATATCTTCTTTGAGCACGCGCCAGGTCATCGTGAGACAGGGCGAGACGGTGGAGTCCGTGTATTTCATCAGGCCATGACCTGGGGCTGCAGTCAGCCTTCTATATCCTTCTATCAGCTTCCTATGATGCTGGGAAGGTGGAGTTGGTGTTTAGGATCATGGAAAACAGTTCCTGGAGGCATGGGAGCTTCATGATGATGCAGGACAGTGTTTGCCTGAGCCACGTCCTGGGGCGAGGAGCCAAGTGAGGTGCTTCATTGCATCGCCCAACTGGGTTGCGGGGGCCAAACATGTGACGCTACTCAGGCCTGGTGACTCCTTTGGAGAACTGGCCTTGCTCTACAGCATCCCTTCCTCGGCGTGGAGCTCAGAAGCCGCACAGCCTGTGCCTTTGATGCATGTGACTACCAATTCTGTTTTCTTGCACCAAGACTACCATAGTGGCCGCCGAGAATGGTGAACTCTGGAAGATGGACCGACCTAGGATGTTGGAGCAAGCAGAGCAAAGTCATGACTTTGGGATGCGCATTGGAGCTGGCCTTTGGCACTTGTCCGGCTGCCGGTGCAAGGGAGCGCGGGGATCCATGAAGCCATTCTGAGCAAAGCGATTTTGCTTGGCAACGCGAAATCATAATGCAGCCCTGCCGGTGTTGCTCCGACCGTTTTTTCTTTTTTTGGTGAGGAGCGGCAGCGTTTCCTGGAGTGCAAGGAGCAGTTGAGCTCTTCCCAGATAGAGAAGGCTCGAGACTGTTGTCGGTATAGTAGGGGAGGAGGAGGCGGAGCAGCAAGTGTGATACGTGAAAAAATGAGCAGTGTTTTCGCATCTAATAGAGTTGAATAGACTGAAGCTGCAGTAAGACTCAGCAAGAGCGTTTTCGTGAAGTTTTCTGCTGCAATAGAGGCAGGGATTGCGAGGCCTCACATGCTAGTGTAAGAAATGTAAGAAATTTGGCAATGCTCCCATGAAAGAGTAGTCTATTAGGGGGCTTGGACAGATTGCCACGGTCAAATGATCTCAAGCCGGTTCCAACATGACCTATGGAATAATTGCAGGATTTGTGAGACTTTGAGTGCCACGGCCCTTTCTCCAGCTGCTGAGCTGCGTGTTGAGGCCATGGAGTTCTTCCAGGCATGTCAGGATTTCCGGTATCTGAAGGAGGCCAGCGATAATGGAATCCCCACGCCACTTGACCGAACGACACAGCAGCTTGATTGCGTGCTTTGGGTTGTCGCTTTTGAAGGAAATATGTTGTGCTGTAACAGTCCAGCAACCAAAGTTTATTCAGACCTGTTGCCCGCCTCAAGCTTGACAGGATGATCAGAAGTCTCTGGCAGCAGTCTGCACCTCGAAAACCTTTGAGGACAGCCTTCAGCTCCTCCTTGTCCTCATCTTGCAGAGTTCTTGTCTTGACCTGCAAGGACGGCTCTGTCGTCTTGAGAGATGAAGAGGTTGGTGAGTGCATGCCAGCAGCTTAACATGAGAGGGCATCACCTCAGCCAAACTCGGCCAGCTGATGCACACTCCTCATGGAAAGGTTAATAGTCATCAGCGGCCAAGTGGCTGCTGCTGAGTCGACTATTGACGCCTTTGACAGGCTAGCTGCTCGTAGCTTTAGCTAGATCGTGTTCCAGCAACATGTGTGATCCTTGCGGTAGAGAGCATGTCGTATCACGAGATCCTTAAGAGTGGGGGCCATGTTTTTGCTGTGCAGGGTGTCCTATGGCAAGCCGGGGTCCGTCATTGGCAGTGTTGGGGTCATCTACAACAAGCAGCAGGCTGGGGTAGGATTGGTTCTTTGTGATATCCTAGTGCGCAAGGTAGGATTCATTTGCCGCGTGTCCACAGCACTACCACAAGTCGATTTGAGAGACGGAAGCCGCTTAAGCAGACGTTTTGTGGTGCTGTTTGATTTATGCCTGATTCTCAGCACACGGATGTTCTGTAGCTTTCCTGTGCCTTCGTGTAGTCCCGAACCCTGCCACAATGTTTCGCATCTTCTGTCCTGCTGTCTTGTCCAGGCCAAAGCGTTTGCCAAGGGACCCGTGGAGTGTCTGTGTCTCAACAAGGCCTCCTGAGACTAAGGATGCTGCTGCCCTCGGCCTGAAACTAGCAGTCTGCTTCCGTTTCCAGGGTCGAGGGCCATAACCCATCGCCATTGCTTGCAGCAGGGGTATTTGATCAGGATGGGGACACTCCTGGCATGGGGGGTGCATTGCGGTAGCAACGTAGAAGAGAGTGCCAATTTGCGAGCGAACTTGGACGTCACAAGCTTGGACGTAAGCCGCAGCTTGCGCTTTCGCGAGGCGGCCCTGAGTGGCTTCAGCCCTTCTGTTCTTGACGTGCTGCGACGGGCAGCTTTCAAGGTGCAAAGACTACACTAGAGTAGTGGCGTGTGGGGCGAGAATGCAGCAGGAAGGTTGCAGCGAATGCTACGCTAAGTTGCATTCAGGCCATCCTTCACAGTCTTCCGCGGAACCCGTTGGACCCGGAGCCGTGGCGTATTCTCTCTGAGCAACAAGTGCCCTCAGCTCAGGAAAGGGCAATGTTGGCTGGTATTGCAGGGTGGCGGTACGAGTCGTGGACTGCAGAGTCTACACAAGTCTACTAGATTCACTAGATATGTTCTCTGTTGCACCGGCACCGTGCAGCGTGGGTTTTCTCAGATTTGTTGACATCCTTTGAAGCTACCCATACGAAGTTTGTATGCGATAATGTGCCGAGGAACCTCCTCATATCCAGAACTGAGGCTGGCTCGGAACCCTTGACAATGCGGCAATTCCGACTGAGCGAAGTGTGTGCAGGATGGCATCTTTGAGCCTGGCGAGATCATCTTTGCTCCTCAGGATGGTGCGCAGCTGATTGTGGTCATATCCGGACAGGCAGGGGAGAGACTTTTATTGGCTCCTTCAAAACCACATGAGAGCAGCTCGCTTGTTGCGTCAGGTGGCAATCATGCAGGCTCTTGCCAAGACCCGCGAGGAAGATGACCTCGCCTTGGGCCCAGAATGGCTCGGTTCGGCTGGAGTGCATGGAGAGCAGCCGAGCATCGCTTACAAGCTTCAGGTGTTTGCTGCCGAAGATGTTGACGTTGTCAAGGCATCTGACAAGGCGGAGGGCACAAAGATCTGAAGGAAAAGGGGTGGGCTTGCTTGCCAGAGGCTTCACTCATCATTCACAAGACAAGACTACTTAGGGTCATAGCGAGAGCATGGACGACATTCATGACATTCAGAGGCTGTGACAAGGCCGAAAGTCCAAAATGTTAGCGCATGTTGTTGATGCCAAAGTAAAGGATCGCTTCAGTTTTGAAGCAACACCTCCGAACTTGAACATGTCATTCGCACCAGTTAGAGTCGCCAGGAGAACAGCTGATCGTGTGGGAAGGATTGTCACTAGTCACCGCCAGCTGCCAGAATGCTAACGAAATTCAAAGTTTTGTTGGGCTCGTCCCACTTTATTTCAGAATCCCTGCATATTCTGTCTCAAAGCTGCAGGTCATCGAAGCTGGCCACTGCTACGGCAAACAACCGGAGCCCTATTGTGGGTAGTGGATAAGCCGCTTTCCAATATAAGCAGAGCTGTGCACTTGAAGTCATATTCGGACTGATGCCACTCCCTGGTGGAATAATAGTTCCTACCTGCAGGCCAGGGGATCTAGGGGTGAGATCTCCGGAAGGCCTTCAAGTTTTTCGGGGTTTCTGTGCTTGCTGCAGCTTTTCAAACCATTCGTCCGCAGCCTCTAGGTCAATTTGGCCCCTTAACCGCTACCCTGCGCACGGAAATCGGAAGTGGCCATGAAACATCAGCTTTTGCACCGCGCAACGGAGCAGGAGTTCTTGGAAGGCGTTTCCATGTCAACCTTTGGCATCGCCATTGGGAAGGTCTGGGCCTTAGACTTCAAGTGAAGCCTCCACAATGCACTGCACTGAGCAGGAGCAACACTGCTTGCAAAACATAGGTTCGCCTCCACCGGATTCTGCACAGCAACGTGCAGGACAGCCAGCAGACTTGCTGCCAAGAGGGATGTTTCGTGGGGTGGGTTTGTTTGTTGGGAGGGCAGGACGGCCTAGAACTGGTCTAGACTTCTCTGTTTCCGTCTTGAAGCAGGATCTCCTGGGAGACTCTCTGATGGAGGCCAGTGGCACAAGAGCTTCCGTTTTCCGGGTCTGCAGTTCCCGTCGTCAACATCAGAAGACCTTGTTCGCCAATAGCAAACACATGTGCCGCTTCTGGGAGCGGGTTTGTGTTGTCGTGGAGGTCATGCGCTGTGCAGAGATCAAGCGGGTGCTTTCAGACATCTTCCTCTTCAAGAACTTGAATGAGGACGCTGAGTGTGAGCTTGGCTCGTGGGCTTCCTCAAGCCCCCCATCCCCGAATAGGAGCAGATTGATCGGACGGTGCGTGAACTGGAGCAGCAGATTTTTGCCGCGGGCGGCTCTGTCACACCCCTTGCCAAGCCCCACTTCCCCCAACTTCACGAGGATAAAGAGTTCTCGCAATTGCTAGTGACTTACACATCATCTTGAGGTGTTTGGCCTCATAGCCTCATAATCTAGATATGTATTGCAACTGAGCGGCAGGTGTTGTGAATTCCGTCACTGGGCCCAGGCTGGTGAAATCATTGTCCAGCAAGATGATCCTGCCAGGCAGAATTATGAAGACGGCGCACAGTGTTCTTTCTGCCAGATTTGCCAGGCATTTCTACCTCATCCAGCGAGGGACGGTGGTTGCCCCCGGCTTGGATCCGCAACAACGACCAAGAGGCTTCTGAAAGCTGCCACTGCAAAAGTCTCCGAAAGGTCCGAAAGGATGGGAAAGTGCTTCGGACGCTGGGGAGGCTGGTTTTGAGTTTGGATTAGCAGCGAGGATGATGCGAGGCACGAAGACACTGTGCGCAAAGCCTGACCTGGCCAGGTGGGATTATTTCGGTGAGCGAGGCCTCCTTCTCCAGGAGCGGCGGTCGGCCACTTGCCAGGCGCTTGATTCTACAACGGTAGTAGATTGGGGGGCATTTTTTTATCCACTGAGTGGGGGGGTTTAGGAACCTTCTGTTTTCTGAAAAATCTGCGGCTCGAAGTCTACTAGGGTTGGCGTCAGACCCATTGTCCACGCATACTACCTACATCGGGCCTACAGTCTACAAAGGCTCCCTAGGTCTCTACAAAGTTGTCAACTTTGTAAGCCTGATGACCAACCTCTCGGGCCCTCTTATGCTGTGGAGAGGCCTTGGATGAGTGCATCTGCCTGGTCTTGGATGCAGACGCCGGGGCCCTGTACAGAACGAAACAGGGCCGCTATGCTGGATTTCACCCAGTGAAGAGCATTTGCAAAGAGCATTTCAGCAACCTGTAGCCTTGACGAAGCTAGCAGCATGGTCTTGACAGCGAAGCACAAATCTGAAAGCATCAGTCGCATTTTGCATCCATGTTGGGCTTTTCAGGAATTCTTCCAGATAGTTGGCCATTTCAAAGATGAGCTGGAACGACGGATGCAGCTGCAGGACATTACGTTGCTTGACCTCGGATATGAAGGGGACACTGGTCGCAGTTTGCGCATGGGTATCAACAACATTCAGTAGCAGCATACGTTTGGCTGTCGAAACTTCAACTCGATGTAGAAATGCTTGTGGCTTGCATTGTGACCCCGAGCCACAGGATCTGAACCTCTCCATCTCCGACCTCCAGGCTTGGCATCTACATTTCCTAATTTGCGCGAGTTGTGCGATTTACCCCGGCCCTGCCTCAGTGCACGGCGGTGGTTGGCCGGGGCACCTTCGGCGTCGTGCGCCTTGTGACGCCCAAGGGCAAGAAGGCGTCGTTGCCAAGCAAAACATGGCCTTGCTCTATTTGAAGTCTTTTCGTCGCTCAGCTTCAGGTAGCTCACTTTTCGCCAAACCCAGCCTGCAGGATGCGCCGGAGTATGCTCTGAAGTGCGTCAAGAAAGCGCAGGCCAGTGGACATCTGCAGCTTGAGAGATAGGAGAGATTCTTGTTGAGCTTGGGACCGGTCAACGGAAGCAAATCTTCATCGCAAAGAAGTGCAGAAAGCAGGTGGTAAAGGGCCGGCAGGAGAAAGCCATCATCATGGAACGAGAGGCTGGTTCATCACATCATGTCGGGTTTTTTAGTGCCCCACACACTTTCGCTACGTGATCCCATGATTTGGCTTCCAAAGCTGCCTGCCCCACTGCGCTCCACTGCTTGGTCAATTGCCTCTTTCCATGATGTGACGTTTGGGATGCACTGTGCAAAACAATTACACGTTTCTGATTGAAGCTGGTGATGTTTCGAAAGCTTAGCTTTGTTGATGGAGCCGAATTGGTATGCCGCCTATCTCATCTGCTGGCCTGCTGTGCATGCCGCGCATGCTGCGCCCGGGTCGTGCAGAAGACTCAGAAGCTAATTAAGGATAAGCACGTGCGGGCAGGATGCCCTTGCGGCAGACTTAGACTTAGATTTCCTTAATGGTCTCATACAAGGACACTGACGTCCTATGCTAGCCACGAATGCTCAAGGTGAATGCTCAGTGCTATCACCCCTGCATCGTGCAATTCATCAAGACGTTCCAGGACCAAGTGGTGACAGCATGCTCCCGCTCTCGCCACAGGCATGTCATAGGCATAGCCAAGAAACTGTCTGATACGAAGCCAAGAGGTTACCCGAAATGATCAAGACACTGCACATGTCACAGTGTTGCACATGCAAGGACAAGTACAACGTCTATTTCTTGACGGAGTTTCTAGGTGGTGGTGATCTGTTTTACGCCATCCGTGCGATTGGAGCAAGTTGCTCAGGATTTCTTCGCGCATTTTGGGAGGCCTACTTGGAAGATTAGCATGTTTGCCAAGGCATTGACCAAGCTGCAGTCACAATTCTTCACGGGCTCCATCGCCCTAGGCATGGAGATGCCCAAACAGATGATGTGGTTCAAGTATGTCACAATGGGATTCAGGCAATTTATTCGTGTAAGGATTTTCATTTGTGAGTAATGTGCAAGCTGCCTACCATGACTTATCTTGCTGTAATGCATGCAGCGAATGCAGCGTGAGTCGTTCTGAATCGGGAAGCTGCCAGGGATCGAGTACCTACATGGTCGTGGCATCATGTACAGGGACCTCAAGCCAGAAAATGTGGTTGACTTAGCTGAGACGCAGTGGCCGACAAAGGGCGCATGCGCTGTAAGACGTTGGCTTGAAGTTGTTAAAGCCTCTCGGCTCTTCCTCCGACGAGGTTTTACTCGACTTCGCAGGGCGTGCGAAGCTTGTGGACTTTGGCTGCTGCAAGAAGGACGGGCAAGTGACGCGGGCATCACTTGCAGCTCACGGGTGCTGCTACCCAGTGTAGCTCTGAGGAGATCCGAGCAAACACCCTTGTTGGGACTCCCGAGTACTTGGCACCAGAGGTGGGATGTGAGCATCTCTCTAGAACCTCAATTAAAAAGAGACCCAAAGCAGAAGATCAGAACGCGTCGACCGGGGCATTTGGGGCAGACTCGGCAGACAGGTGATCAAAGGCAAGGGTTACACCAAGTCTATCGACTGGTGGTCCCTTGGAGTCATGCTGTATGAGCAGCTTGGAAGCAATTTTGGCTGCCGGGTGTCCAAACTGCTTGCGTATTTCATAAAAGCCACTGCAGGTTCGTGGTCGGTCCCATCCCCTTTGGTGCTGGCGAAGAGGCCAGGTTCCTGTCCTGTGATTGACAGCCTCTGTATCCAATGCTGCCGTCGCGTCCTCTTCAGGACCAGATGCGGCTTTTTGCAGCAATCAGCGAGGCCTCAACTGGTTGTCCATGTGAGACATACCAGGGAATTTTAAAATGTCTTCGGCAAGCAGTCTACTTCGCAATCAAGTCACATCGCCGCTGACTAAATGTCCAGGCCCCGCTGCTGTTCCCCAACTACGTTGCCGAGGATGCCATGCAGGTTGGATAAGTGGTTTGAAGTGGTTTGGGGTGTCGGAGCTGAGGATCACCTTTTGGAGCAGGTGCTTAGCGGGCTTCTGGAGCGGCGGCCAGAGCGGCGCCTAGGGAGCTCTGGGGCCAAGGACTCGACCCAGGGAAGGGCTCAGGCTTGGGGTCCTGGAGTGTACAAAGGTGCGGAGGTGGTGGCCCGTTGTAGTGCGCTGCTCGCTTAAGACAGCTCATCTTTCAGTGGAGGAGATCAAGAAGCACCTGTGGTTCAAAGGGCGGCCACCTCAGAGCGGAAGCTTCCCTCGGGTAGCTGCCGAGCATTCGGACTGCAGCTTTGAAAGGGCCATCTTGCTGAACCTCGTCTGTCTTATATTCTAGTACATTTTGTCAAGCAACGCATGACGCCGTGAAGCCTGGTTCGAGGCATGCGGCAGCTTTAGGCGGAGGAAGGTGATTGCGACGGTGGCGCCATGGGGGTGGGCGTGTGTTCGTATCCTAGACAAGTAGACATTCTGAACCCTGATACGTCTAAAATTGCAGCCATGTGTGGCGGAACTTGAAACATTTGGTGGAGCCCGACACCTGAACAAGTTTCTTTGCTTCTGCAAAGCATTAAGAGGCAAAAAAAAGGAGGGGCGGAGGAGAGTAGAGGTGGAGGAGTTTACCCCTTGGCCCGTGACATTTTTGGCTTGCCTGCATGATCCGGGACGCCAGGACCACTGGGTTGGACAGCTTTGGGAGGCCCGGGCTCCAGTCTCCACACGTGCACCCGTGCACCCCTCGCCTTTCACCCAGACAGCCCCAGCCTGTGGCCTGATCTTGTTACTGTTTTTCTCAGCTTTTTGGTATCTTTTCACTTGGGCCTGTTGTGCTAGGTAAAGAAAAGACTCCGTGACCAAACCAAGAGGCTGAAGTGGAGCCTAAGCCAATTTGATCCTGAACTTGGCCCTCTCACAGCGTGCAGAAAGGTGTAGTAGCCACGAATGAGGTTTGATTGGGATGCGTTGGCTGGGGGGTTCTTCCCACCTCCATGGCAGCCTGATGCGCAGGCCAGACACTGCAAGGCTGACTTACACAGCCATTACAGCACGGCTTTGTGCTTCCTTGCGTTGTTGTAGGCCCAGATGAAGAACTGGGAGGCAGTGATTGTTGCAGACCGCAAAGAACTTCATGGATGTTGTCGGAACAGTTGGATGATTGGAGCTGCCACAGCTCCAACCCTACAGCTGCCTTTGCCCAGGAGCCGGACGGTGATCTTATGGATCATGCAGCTGGGCTTCACTAATGGGCTTTCCGGTACTTTGCTCGTTTGATTTGTGTGGGTAGCCTCAGAAGGCCACCATGCAAGCATTGCATGAGACGGCAGACTGAGGTAAGCACGGAGAGCTTCACGTTCACCAAGGGTCGCCTGCTTGCATGCTTAGTGCGTGCTTGTAGCAGCAGCTTAGTCCCATGTGTAGCCAGAGTGTGGGTCAGATCTGTCAACTGAACGAGGAATGGAATGGGCGAAGATCTTTTGATTAGTGGGGCTGATGCAGTGTGGCGACTGCTTATGATAGTCTTATGACCAACAACTGAGAGGCTCACTACTGGTAGTCGCAGTCGCAGCAGAGGAGCATGTATGCCTAGACAGTGCATCAGCCTGTCCATACCATGTTCCAACATCTGGGGTGTGCCGTGCAGAAGTGCGGTTGCAAAACGCGTCCAGACTTGCCGACGATAATGGTTTGGCAGCGAGCAAGACATATCAAGTCTGCAGTAAAGGAAGGCCCCAGGGCATCTCTCCCAATAAGCTTGCTTTGTATGTGAGGGATGCTAAGGACTATTCTCTGTCAGAGCTTGCTGCTAGCATACTATGTGTGCGATGTTAGTGCACTTCGCTCCACTGCTAAGCAGTGCATTGCGCTCCCAACGTTGCAAAGATGGGTTCAATGTTCATGTGCCTGCTTGTTGCATGAGGGACCTGAAGGGCATGCTGCTTGCAGGCGTTGTGGATGTTGAAGCAGGTGGCTCAGGTTGAGCGGGCCAGTTGGCCTGAAGGTTGCCCATGACAGCCATATCAAAAGCAGGGTGAGTACCGACCCTTGCCTCAGTCTTTGGCTCAGATTTTAGAAGCAGTTCCAGGCTTTGCTTGCACCAGGACGGGCATCAGCTCACTGCGGAGGGTAAAGACTGTCAGCAGATTCTTCAAGAAAAGCTTATAATTAATGGTTTGTTTGTTGTTGCAACGGCATTCGTGTTCACAAGTCTGTTCCATGCAGGCGAACAGATGACGCAGCGTCCTCCTAAGAGAGAAGGTAAAAGGAGGCTGGCGAATCTTGGCCCCCTTGTGGTTCGTATTGCTTCACCAGCAGTCTCCTGCAAGGCTCTTGGCTTCAACCCTGACATTCATTGTGCTTGTCATCGCCGCAAGGAGGCTAAAAAACTCACATGAAAATATGGATTTGGATTCAACCTTCTCCCCGTGCGTTTTGAAGGTTCAGCGAGCGTGGCCTTGAAGCATTCTCGATGGCCAACGTTGCCACACCAGTTCGGGGCCCACGGCGCTCGTTGAAGCAGAACCTGGGCGGCCAGCCCACGCAGGCAAGGAACAAGAGGTTGAGCTTTGTCTACTCAGCTACTTCATCTTTGTTTTTTTGCGCAAGTGCACTGCAGGCCACGATTGCAGCGCTGGAGGGCAGCAGTCCGCTGTGCCTGGCTGGGCGCTCGGCCAGTCCGTGAGGAGTTTTTCTTGCTGACCAAACTGCTTTGCTATGGCAGAAATTGCTTGCAAGACTGAGCATTGTTTTGTCAGACAGCTTTGCAACTTTTGGATCCGACTGTCAATTACTAGTCAGCCTCACATGAATGGCGAAATAGATCCCAAAACTGCTCTCCAGAATCTCCTGGCTTCAGCAGTATGTTGGGATTCAGTTACGTTTCAAGCATGTTGTTGAAATCAGGACGTGCCCATGTCTTATCTGCCAGCCTTGTGTTGCCACGAAGGTTTCCTCAATCCGAGACTTGGAGGGCACCTGGCACGTGACCAGCCCAAAGGACGGGAGTGAAGAGTATTGTACAAACATGGAACTTGAAGACAACTCTCCCTGTGGCATCACCTGGCAAGCGCACAATGCGTGATGTGATGTGGAAAGGCAAAACGAGTCACCACAAACCTTGCCAACAGACTGGCTTCATCTATGTGCTACGCAATGCATTCGTGTTCGATAATTTGTGGGTGGGTGGCAGAATTCGGCACTGGCAAGTTCAATGCTTAAATTGATTGATCTGCTGAAAGGAATGAAGAAACTCCTAGCAGTTTTGCTCGTCGCTCGTTGATTACTTGCCCAGAAGACTCCTAGTCAACAAGCGCATGACTCCTGGAAGTGGCATGCTTATCCAAACGTGTACCATGTCAGAGTTGTGCCTGATCTACTTGGAGGTCCAGGGTAGTCATAGTTCAAGTCCAACTAGCACGTAAACCCCTGTCCGAAATGTAACCATGTTAATTAGAGGACTAAGGATTTCAGAAACTCAATATGGTTTCAGAACATCCCGAAGCACAAGTCATGCAATTTTCTTGGCGCGTAGACTGTGGGAGCTCGCTGAACAAAGTGGGAACAACATGGCCACTATTATGTTAGATTGGGAAAAAGCATTCGAGAAAACAGACCACGTCCGACTGTTTCAAGCCCTCACCCGCACAGGAGTTCCAGACAGGATATTTAGCATGATACAGAGTATTTACACAAGCCCTTCAAAGTAAGGAACACTGAAGGGGAATCCGATTTGATGATACAACATGCCGGAACAAATGTACCCTGTACCCCGTCACCATATCTATTCATCCTTGTCATGTCAGTTGTTTTTCGAGACATAAAAAGTGAATTAAGCACCCCGAAGCAAAAAGAACACATACCAGGTGTTTTCTTCTCAGAAGTTCTCTATGCGGATGATACACTAATATTTGGAAATCATACTGCTTCCATCAACAAACTTCTAGTTTTCATAGAAAGGGAATCCTGGTATTTCAACATGAAGCTTAATTACACCAAATGTGTAAACCTAACTACCAACAGACGCACGTCAACAATCAAATTTCGAGATGACGGACACAGCAGATAACACAGGGGAAGTGAATAACCGAATTGCAATGCCAATCAAGACTGCTCGACAACTCAAACTTTTCTGGGACAGAGCCAGGACAACGACAGCTTGGAAACTACAAGTATTCAACGCTATCGTACTCGCGAGTGACATCCGGTTTAGAATCCATCCAATTAAGCCAGGCCGAACTAGCCAAGTTGGATGCGTTCCAGATAAAAAAAATCTTAGGCGCATTCTCAAGATAGCACCAACACACATAGACAGACACAAACTAACCAAAAAGTCTGGGACAAAGTCGCGGAATAGGAGGTACACATGCAAAGGAATTTATGGGATCCTCGGTCTCAGTTCAAGCCGATATGATCCGCTAAGACAAGTTATATTTGAAACCGGCACCAACGCATCAAAAAAGTTTCACTGTCGACGAGTCGGAAGACCAAGGGCAGACTTTGTAATCGAGACTTTAAAAGATGCTGTGTACGCCCTTGATGAAGCCGTTCCGCAGATACTCGATAATGAAACCATTCGCAAAGTATATGAGGCAGCAGTAAACCGAAGAGACCTTTCCGAGTGCCACAAAGGAGTCACCAACGATCCTCCAGAAGACAACTTGGCAATGGCAGCAAGCCAACAGCCCTTGGGCTTAACACGTAAATACCCCCTGCGGTATGTGTGATTTATTCACGTTTCACGTGTGCTGCGCACCTTGCTTGGCGCTCTGTGAGTGAGTGAAGGGCCCCTCTGCACCTCGAGAGTTGGTTCCCGGGCCGTGCTGGGCTACGCTGAGTCGCATGGTTTTAAGCATCGTGAACAGGCTCTGCAGGTTAGCGCATGCCATTGTTGCATGCTGTCGCGCAGCTCTTGTCGATGAGTAAGTCCGTTTCAAACCAGCTTGGCAGCCCAAGCCTGCGATGGGAGCAGGTTTTCATCGAAAAAGATGATGATCTCATTTTGCTCTTGTGTTACTTGTTTTGTACGTTTTTTCTGTAGCAGCGGCTGCTTTCAGAGGCAGTTCTACCGACCGCGACAAAAGCATGGAGTCGTGCTCAATCATGCCTTCATCAGAACTGGATGTGAAACTCCCACACGAAGACCCCTGAAGGAGAACGCGCCAAAAGGGTCCTGGCCTGGGCGAGTCTGTATGGGTAAGCTCATCTGTTTGGGAGACCTCCGTTGCCCACCCTAAACTCCAAGGTTCCTGCATGGAGATGTTCCACGCATGCTGCTGAACCTTTATACCGGAGACATCGGCAGGAGTCCGGATCATGAGATTTGAATTGGGCCCGCTGACGCGAATTCATGTCAGCTTGACCCAGCGGCCCAGCAGCATGTTTCAAGTATGTCACTTGAGAAAGTGCAGGATGCTCAGCATGGATGTGGTGGCTGCTTGGCTTCATTGTGGCCTACGAAAGTCGGGCACAAGTTGTGTTCACATTGCGAAGTGGTAGATCAGGAGCCTTGTTCCCCATCATGTGGGTCCTTGAAATGCATGACACATGATTACGCCGATGTTGGTGATTGATGCTTATTAGCTGGCGTCGATCCAGAATGATATTCATGTCACTCATTTGCCAGGCTTCTCCGGTGCTGCACATCAGCGCAGATGGACGCACCACTACGGAGACACAGCTCAGGCCTGACATTTTGCACCATGGGATCTGAGTTCTGACAGACGGCTCAACCCACGAAAATACACGAAAGGTGGGGCCAGCAGCAAGACCACATCACTCTCCAAGGCAGGCTGGAGCTTGTCGGCACCAATCTTCTCCGCGAGGCAGCTTTGCTTGAATTCAGCATTGGCTCTCCTCCTGATGCCCAAGCTCCATATGTCCATATGTTGCATGGCGTCTTCCTGTCTTTTCGCCTGCCTTTCTCAATCCAACATGATGTCGGTATGCATTGCGTGCGTTGCCACTCATGAGCTGGTCAGAAGCCAAAAGCTACACGGTCAGATGCTCTGCGACTCACACTGTGAGCGGCTCAGCGCAGTGCAAGGTAGGAGCGAATTCAGGCGTTGCCAGTGCAGGGATTCACTCTTTCTGCAAGATTTGGAGCTCTAAGGCCAGCCATGCAAAAAGACCGAGAAATGAACATCACGTGACCTGGCTGAAGTCTAGGAGGTGCACCAATCGATCAAGTCTGTGCGTCAGAGGTATTTCGATGGCAGCCTCCTGGTCCTGAGGGATGCTCGCGGAATCGTTGACGTGCTCTGGCGCGAGGTGGTGCATCCACAAGATGTAAGAAAGTGCTCAGGATAGTGTTTAGCGGAATTCTTGGGGCTTAAGATACAGGACTTGAACTGTCACCAGTTGCTCCTGTTGACGACCTTGTGACACATGGCTGATCTGGCGGTTTGAAAGACTACACTTTCAAGTCTCCTGTGCAGGGTGAACCTGACGCAGAAATGGATGAGGACTTCACAATGGAGCCCGCA